CTACCTAAATATCCATCAGCTGATGAGTGGAAAAACAAAATGTGATATGTACATATAATAGAATATTATTTGGCCATAAAAAGGAATGAAGTACATGCTACAACATGGATGAATCTTGAAAACATTATGCTGACAGAAAAAAGCCAGTCACAAAGACCACATGTGATTCCATTTACATGAAATATCCAGAAATGGCAAACCTACAGAGACAGAAAGTAAATTAATGTTTGCCTACAGTGGGTGTGGGGTGGTAGTGTAAGAGAAAATGGGGAATAACTGCTAATGGGTGTGGGGTTTCCTTTTGGAGAGAGAGAAATTTTCTAAAATTAGGTTGTAGTGATGGTGGTACAACCCTATCAATTTATTTAAAACCATTAAATTGTACATGTTAAATGGGTGAATTGTATCATATGTGAATTATACCTTAATAAATCTGTTTTAAAAAAACAAAAAATATAATTATTGATGGAAAATCTTTGTTCCCTAGTGCTATATTCTTGTTTCTACTGGTACCAAAAAAAAAAAAAAAAATTGTTATTTCTAGTGTTTGAAACAGCAGCTGTCTCTTATCTCACACTGTTAAAACTTTTTAAGTCACAAAACACATACATAAGCACAGTAAGATTTTTTTTAAAAAGTGTTTCATTGATATGTCAATTACATAAGAAATAGCAAGCTAAAGTAAAAAGAAAGTATAATGAAGCACTTGCAGACCACTGGGAATACGTACTCAGACCTGTTTCAGTCTTTGGCTCCTCTCCTGATACATGAGTACCATACCACCCAACCAGTGAGAACAGGACTGCTGCTTCCTAAACCCTTCATGGTACAGCACTTCAACCCAGTGACCTTCCAAATTCTCCTTGCATATCATGCTGTATTTTTCTATTAGGTTAAATTCCTCCTTCCAAACAAGAGCTATACAAAAGAATCGAGATATAGTCAAGAAGGGAAGAATTTGCCATCACCCATCTAATTCACAGTGTCAGCATACGCGTTTGCTCAAAATGTTCTCAGCTCTGTCTTTAATCCCTCAGTCTGAGATGTACACTGAGGATGCTTGTGAAAACCTGGGCCAGCCCCAGCACTTGGGCTGAGAGAGGCCTACAAGTTACAAGAAGGATCCTGGGCTGGTGGGGGGTGCCACTTATTACTTTGTTTTCAGATGGAGGGACAGAATTGCAGAGAAGCCCCACCAAATGGCAAGATGAAACCCCAGGATATTGGGCCACAGCTGTTTGCTTTGGTCCTTCAGACCGATATATCCTCAGTTCAAATATTAGTTTATTCAACTTTCCTTTTTTCATGAGTATGCCACACTAACCTACATAAAAAAAGCTCTCCTCATCAGTCTATATTTATATAATTCCCTTTATCTGATATTATACTATCTTATTTATTGATATATTTGATATATTACATTGTGTAAGTTTAAGTTGTACAACATATTGACTTGATATATTTATATTTCAATATGACTGACATTGTAGTGTTAGCTAACACTTCTATCACATCATATAATTATTTCTCCTGTTAGGAGCAATTAAGATCTCGTCTCTTAGTAAGTTTAATGTTTATAATAAAATTTTGTTGTCTATAATCGCTGTACTGTGTATTAGGTCCCAGGAGTTATCTACTAGTTGCAAGTATGTACCCTTAAACACATCCTCTCCTGGTCCTAGATTAAATTCTGCTCCTCTGGCTGTAGTATGGCCCCAGGAGGTGGTGGTGGTGATAGCAGGGTACCTTGTTCACTCCAGCTAAGACTCAGGTCCTCACTCTCCCACAATGTCCCTTTGGACTGGCAACTTAGTCTAAAATTAGTCTTCACCACTGGGAGCACTCCACAGGAAGGTGGTTGGCTACAAAGGAGACTCACCTCTGCTTGGACCCCAGACTGAACCACATGGTCCCTCTTGTTCTCAACCTTTCATCTCCATAAGCCTCGCCCATGGCTGAGGGACCTGGCTTCTGCAGTTCTGGTTGCCACCCTCTCCCACCATCAGACTTTAATGTATTAAGGATGGTATTAAATCACAATTTAATTGGCTGGTCAGGAGCAAGAGTGTGAATTATTAAGTTTATTAGATATGAGATCAGTGTTATGGTTATATTGGGAAGTATTTTTTAGGAGATGTATACTGATGTATTTTGGGATCAAGTATCATGGTATCTCACTTTCAAATAGTTCAGACAACAAAATACACATACATACAGAGCGTATGTGCAGTATATTACTGTTTTTCTTGAATTCTCACCTTGTGAATAGAAAAACAGGTCAAAGGAGAGCTGTTCATAGGTTAAGGCATGAGGATTATACATAATTCTGGCAGAGGGTGATTAATCTTGAAGGTATTTCTCTTGGCAGGGAGTTGCAACTGGGCAGCACTGCATCAACTCCAGGATTATCTATTCTGGGTCATAAACTTGTAATTTGGAGGGAACATTAAATATGAAATGAGCATGTCTGGGTGTCTGTAAATTGAACAATGGTTAGGAGAGCTATATGTAGCTCTGAGAGCTGGTGTTAAAAATAACCTGAAGCACAAGCAAAGAGTTTCAGCCTGGTTGCCAGGCAGCCCTGCCACCAGCTTCCTTCAAGTTGACCTTTATTTTTCTCTATCCATGGTCTAACACTTTCCCCTTCTCACCCTCCTTTGATTCATTTAATATTTAATGAGTACTGTTTGTATGAACTAGAGGGGTCCAAGATAGGCTAGATCATAAGCTCTAAAACTAAAGAGGGCAGACACCTTGTCCTTAAGCATCTTACACTCTAATAAATAAAGGCAGGTATACAATTACCATGATCTTGTTCAACATAATCATTTATGATTTGTAACTTAATTGTATCCACAAAGATCCTTCTACCAAATAAGGTAACATTTCCAGGGAGTAGGGGGACATTTTCAACTTACTAAAGATGGGGAACATCAGAAGCCCACTTCTGAGGGGTGACCGCTGAAGTTATGTTATCTGAATAACTGGCTGACTACTAGAGCTAAGCTATATTCAAAATACCATTTTTCTGTTAACCCAGGCTCTGGTGCTTTCTTTTGCTTGTTTCCTCAAACTCTCATTAACTAATCTGGGAATGTCTCTGTTGCTTGCAAACTGAGTCAAACTATAGCAAAATGGCTGACCTAAGAATAGTTCATTTTGCATATAATTTTCACTGTAAATCTACCAAAATATCAATGGTGGTAGATCTTTTAGGGCTATTGGATCAATCCATGCTCCCCTTTTCTGAGAACTACCTCCCCACTCATGGACCCTTTGACAATGTCAATATTCAGTGACAATTCCCTGATCAGACCCAACTGAATCAGAGATAGGCACTTGACTAAGTTGGACCAATCAGATTCTCTTCAGAGATGTGGAACTTATATACAGCTCCCTTGGTTTCTGAAATTGAAATGTAGCCCTGAAAGGTGACTTTTTTAAAAAAGAATTTTAATAAAAATTTATTTGAACCAGAGGATGCACTTAGAAGCAAGATCTCAACATTTCCTGAAAGGCCATCTTTTGCCAAGCAAAAGCCATTATGTAGAAAGAAGCAGAAACAAGTGACCATGGCGACTCAGAGACAAGAAGCTGCCTTGGTTCTTAAAGGCTTCCCTGGTTAGACTCAAGTGAAGTTGAGCTACATTTCTGCTCTAGGTTGAGAGGATTCTGCTCCCTCATATCCCGCATCCTGAGAGTAAATTTTACTTTCTGCTTAGGCAGTCTTAGTGGGTATCTGTTATCAGAAACCAAAAGATGTTTAAGACTGATGTTTCAATCCTGGCTTAAATACTTACCTTGCTCCCACAAAATTATTCAGGCTCAATATGTAAAATAATGCTGTACTTGGGTAATTTTTCAAGAGATCCCTCTAAAACCTTCAGGGATTAACCAATGATTAGCCTTTCCTATAACATTTTAATAAATTTTATAACCATTAGCTAGACTAAGCACAGTATTATGATTATGTTGTTTTCATTTCATAAAATAGTGTCACAAAAGCATCTTAGGGGATATCTAGTTTAACCCTTTCCCTTTCAAGTAAGGAACGTAAAGCTCAATATGGCTAAGAATCTTGCCCAGTGCTGAAATTAGAATCTCGTCTCTGTCACTACTCAGGCCAGGGTCTTTTGTCAATAATTTTTTTAGGGCCAGGATGGTATTATTCTTCCCTTAAATTCTAAGTGAGATCACTAAATAGTATTTACTGACTGCCCACTAATTGTTCAGGACTTTTAGATGCAAGTTAAAAATTTAACTTAAATAGCTTAAGCCAAAAAAAAAAAAAAAAAAAAAAGCTCAAGAATACACTTGTTTCAGGCATGGTTGATTGTAGGCTCAAAATTACAGTGAGGATTCCATCTCTTCACCTCTAGGAGACTTTCCACAAGGTGGGGCACCTACAGACTCATATCCTATTAGCTTAGCTATCCCAGCAGTACATGCCTGACTATCCATGGACATCTCAGTTATGTGTCAATAAATTCCTTTTTATTCTCTTAAGCCAATTCAAATTTGGTTTCTGTCACTTTCAACAAGCATTCTAACTTAAACTAAGCTTATCGGAGAGTTCTCCTTAAACAAGGATAATGGTAACCAATTCCCTCTTTTAAAATTTTTAATATAAGAGCAGGAAGTATAAGCAGAAGCTGAAAGAACATGTGCAGAAGACAGCAATCCAGGCCATGAGGAAAAGGAACTTAGTCTTGACATATTACCTTGGCCTTTATTTTCTACCTCTTCTATCTCATCTCTACCTTTTTCATGACTTCAGCTTATTCTTGGTCCTACCAGCATCATGGCCTAGATTGCTACATAATATGCTAAATTGATTTGACTCTGGAACCCCCTTCTCAGAAACAACAAAGAACAAGAACAGGTTTCCTCTTCCAAGTTGGTCAGGTTCCTCATGACATTCTAGGATCCAAAATAACTCGTTATAATTGATGATGTGACCACATTTGGATCAGAATGTGGGCTTAAGGCAGGAGGCTTGATAAGACAACCAAGATCCTTTGCAGGAAATTAGGCCTGCGATTTTCCTGGATTCTCAAGTTACAGAACATTTCTCTCAATTCCCGTGGCAATAAAATGGGGGAAATCATCCACTTAAATTGATTTGGAATAAAAAATGAAATATATGTAAAGTCACTGGTATATGATCAGTACTGAGTGAATATTAATTCTCTTCCCTCAAATTTTAATATCATTTACTATATGAAGCATTATCCAAGTATCTTCTTTTGCTCAAATGTCTTAACATTTATACATCAGAATGGTATTATTCTACACGAGTTTTTAAACAAAGAATCAGGATTATTTTTTAACCTAAAAAGTTTTGCTGCAGTTTTCCAAGTGTTTTTATTGAATTTAAAATTCATGTAAGGGATACAGAGATATACAACTAGTTTGATCAGCTACTAAGATATTTTGGTATCCCTTTATTTTTGTACTCAAGAGCCAGTTCACTTTTTCTCCATGTTCAATACTTAGCTTTGGTAAAATTTTGCCATGTTTTTCATCTGTTACTGAAGCATTAGTGTTTCCACCCTGCTTGGTATAAGTTGCTCTTTTAGTTTTCTTCCTGTGGGTATGTTTTGTAGGACTCTTCTGTTTCTTCTCAACTTCACTGCCTACATCCCACAACATTATCTTTCCATCATTCCCTCCAGTAAGCAGCAAATAGGATTCTGGCAGAAAGCAGACCTGGGATACCCCCAAAGTGTGGCCCTTAAATCCCAGTTCTTGTTCACACTTGACTCCCATCACCCTAAAGATTCTAACTTTACCATCTTCTGCACCACAACTAAAAATATTGCCACATGATGCCACAGACACAGAGTGGGCTAGAGCAGGGTTTAAAAGTTGACCAGGTGATTGTGGGCTCTCCATTTCTTCCATTTCATCCTCCTGTAAATTTGTAATCCAGAGTGGTCGGGCTTTCTGAAGGTTCCACAGCATCACCTTTAAATAAAAGGAAGTTACAGTCAAATAGAGTTCTAGCCGTTTTGCTCAACTACCATGCTTATTCTGCTTCTAATAAAATCATCAAGGTAGTCTAAGAGTGATTAGTAGGATGCATTTCCAGTAATATTTTTAAAAAAAGTTTAGATGGCATCACAACATGCCAGTGGAATGTTACCCTGGTACCGAAACTAGAATGCCAATGGGCCATAAAGTGGATTTTAGAAAACAAGATCCTGAATAACTTTCAATTAACAAACCCACTAAAGAGTAATACAAATTCTTAAGCAGTTGCCAGTTTCTTTAAGTCATTCTACCCTCATCTTTACAAGTAAAATAGATTATGAAATTTATTAATTTTCGTCTAAGCTGGTTACATGCCTATCAACTAAATAAACTAAATCTGGAATACCACTGAAATCTAGAATGTTTTTCCTTTCCTTTCACTTCTCTCTTTCCCATAATTAATTCTTATTCTATTAACTGACATATACTACAAGCTTGTCAGTTCTTTTAGATTTAATTAATCTTTGCTCATGCCTAACATATTGCCTGGAAAAAAAACAAATTCCAAACATGTCTGTTGATTAATTTAATACTCTGGTATATTTGGTTTTTTGTTGTTGTTCCCTACCATGATCTTGACCCTATAAATTGATTTAAATAAAATGCTAATCAAAATCCATTTAGAAAACAAAATAAGCTTTATGAATTGATTTTACTCTCTAGTGATTCATTTTCTTCCTGTAGTAAGCAATTTGGAAAGGAAAATGTTCTTAATACTTTTAGAGAGAACAGACAGCTTTATTTTACCATCTTGTATTATCCCTGAATTATAACTGAATTTAAAATGGACACTAGGATAAGCAAGACCTTGTTAGATAGTCAAAAGCATAGATCTGAATTGACAAGATTACTATTGCTGGTGATATTAAGAATTTGTTTTCTATTCAAGGTTAACTTACGTCAACTCAGCCTACTTTCAAAAGAAGTGAAATCAAATAACTATA